GGAAGACCATCATATGGGTAGGTCTCTAAATTAGGGTCACTTTTGTGGTCCTTTTTGTAAGGGTGCCGTGCTATTTTGGATGCCTACGAAGGGACCTTAATTTGTAAACCCTAAACCCCTAAACCCATTTGGATAACAACCCATATGCCAGAACAGCAAAGACCCCGTCCACAAAGCACTGAAACGGACACCGAAAAGACGACCCCAAAGCGCCAGCAGCCCAAACTGCGAAATTCAGGGCTGAGGGTTTAGGGAAATCTGGAGGCCTGGGTCGGGACGGGTGAGGGCATCGGCTTGCGCCCAAGATTTGCGAAACCCCAGATCCCAAATGCCAAACCCCCTAAATCCGACTCCCTGAATCCTGAATCATAAACCCTTCTAGGGCTCTGTTGGGGGTTCCTTTACGGCTTTAGAAAGTTTAGGGTTTAGGGTAACTTCCAGCGCTCCCTTAAGAGGCTCTCCTGGGAAAGTCTCTTGAGTGCCGTCTCGGAAGGGCTCGCAGAGCTTTGCCGGCTGCCATCACCTGGGAGTCTAGGGGTTTAGGGTTTAGGGTTTAGGGTTTAGGGTCTAGGATCTAGGATTTGCGTAGTTCTCCAAATTAGGGGGGTTTAGGGCTTAGGATTTGGAAAGTTCTCTAAATAAGGGTCCCTTTGTGAGGTCCCCCAAAAAAACTCCGGCACCGTTGTAATAAGGACCTCAAAAGGGGCCCCAATTTAGAGAGCTACTCCATCTAGGGTTCAGGGTCGAATTCAGGGGTGTGGGGGATCCCAGATATGGTATGGTCATGTCAAGTTCAACCTGAACAACTGCTACTGTCGTGCTTTGGGAACTCATCCCACATTTTCTGGCGCCCATGCAGGGGCGATCCCCTACTGATGGCACTTCTTGGGAGTCTCGTCTTTGTTGACCCTGATACAACACAGTCGGATTTTTTGTGATTTTCACAGGATTCCAGCCCATGGCATCGTGCTTGTGCCCGGGTTGTGAAAGTAGCTGTGGTAAACACTAAACCCTAAACCCCTAAACCCTAAACCCTAAACCCCTAAACCCTTAGCCCTAAACCCTAAACCCCCTTGCTTCGAACATTCGCAATCGGCTAAGTACCACACCGTCATCGTCCATCGCGGAAAACGAGTCCAGCGCCTGTTGCTCAAACTCTCGCGGTCTTAGATGCAGTATGTCTAGCTGTAACAATCCCAAAGAGTCCTAGGTACTGTTGCGGCGGATACTTTCCCAAACCATACTAGTCCCTAAACTCTAAACCCTAAACCTTATAGATACCCTACTCCCTACCATGTTCAATATGTAGGTACTGCATGAGGACCCTCTGGGAATTCTGTACTTGGAGGATCATGGGACTTAGTAAGTAAGGTTACAAGTCCCCTAATTGGGGTTATAAGTATAGTAACCCTAGTTATAACCCTACTTACTAAGTCCCATGATCCTTTAAGTAAGCCGGAACTTGACCCTAAACCCTAAACCTGAACTTACCATGAAGTCAGATCTCAGTTCGGGCTCTGGTCTTGCTATCAAGAGCTTAGGGGCTGAGTACCCTAGCCCCAAAAAAGCTTAACCCTTTGAATTAAAGTAGGATTATAAGAGCCTCAAAAAGGTTAAAGGTTATCTTCTCAGCCACTAAGAGAGGCTTCAAAGTGTGCTTGTTTCGATGTGTTGTTTGATTGTGCCAGTTTATGTAGTACTCGGCAGCAATAGAAGCATGGATGTACAGGAGATGCCGTGTGTTAAGGGCACTAATTCAAAGACCCGACCTGTTAAACTTGTGCTTTAGGCTCTTCTCCGTCACGGTTCGGGCATTGATGGTCACAGTCTCAGTCGACGCTATGCACGGTTCGGGCATTGACGCTCTGGGATCACGGATAAGGTCTCAGTGGATGTTGTCACGGTTCGGGCATGGATGCTCTGGGACCATGGATGACGTCTCCAGTAGACAGCGGACGCTGTCACTGAAACAATGGCTCGTGTGATGTTCTCGGCATGCAAGGCTGCCGGAACGCCCGAAATACCAGGGTGCACGGGTCCCTGGATGGTGGCACGTCGCCTAGGCCCTAAACCCTAAACCCTAAACCCTAAACCATAGAGTGGACACAGTGGCCGAAGCAACGTTTTCGTTCTGCGAAGCCCGCCAGACACAGTAAATACCGATGTTGCGAGGTGTGCTCGGCGTGAAACACCAGTTCCCTTGATTCAGGGCTTCCTAACGTCCTTTCAGAGCTGGTATGAAGAGTACTTAAAGGATCATCGGACTTAGTAAGTAGGGTTATAACTGAGGTAACTATACTTATAACCCCAATTAGGGGACTTATAACCTTACTTACTAAGTCCCATGATCCTCCAAGTAGGCCCTTAACCCTAAATCCAAAATCCTAAACCCTAAAAGGATATTTTCTTTTAGTTCAGCTCTAATATTTTGAGCCTTTTAAGCCCAAAGCCATCGGAAGCCCATGGAAGCCCAAAGCCCTGAACCTGAGCAGCTCTCCAATGCCCAAAGCTTTTCCGAAGCCCAAAAGCCCCAAAGCACTAAAATCCCCAGTCCTCGGGTTGTAGGGTTTAGGGTTTAGGGGTTAAGGGTTTAGGGTTTAGTTTAGGGTTTCCTCAGGGTTTAGGGGGTTTAGGGTTTAAGGGTTTAGGGGCTTGTGGACCCTAAACCCTAAACCCTAAACCCTAAACCCTAAACCCTAAATGTATAGGGGTTTAGGGTTTAGGACCTAGGGTTCCTTTAGACCAAAGGAACCTTAAAAGTAGGGGCCCTGTAGGGTTTAGGGTTTAGGGTTTAGGGTTTAGGGTTTAGGGTTTAGGGTTTAGGGTTTAGTGTACCCTATTACTATGAATATGAACCTTAAACAATTTTGGGGTTGATTTCGTCTTTAGGGTTTAAACCTACTTTAGGCACCGAAAGCATAGTTCTTCGCCACAAACCTGGCGCCAGCCAAACACAAACTCGTCAAAACTCAACAATTCTTGGCCATTTCAAAAGGAATCCGTACAGGAATTCCTTAGTCCCCAATAGACCCTACATAGACATACCCTCCAACACACCATCATGGTGTTATTACTGCGGCCATCAAAACCAAAAGCACCATTAGACAAAACCACAATCTTGTAAGGACCAAACTCGAACAGGCACCAACTGACGAGAATGCATATAAAAGTCCGGAAAGAAGCTGCAAACAACCCTCTAAACACATATAACTCAAGTCCTAAACGTAAGCACAATATCCATAAAACATCCCAATCCAGAAACCCGAATTTCCTCACCCCTCTATGCTAAACACGTGCTCAACTTCATATACCGCAAACTCCACCCTCGCTCACCACCCCCCAGCCCCTTTCCCCTAAACCCAAAACCCTGAAACCTCAAAACAAAGGTGTCCGGCACCTCCTTGAGTCGGCGGCAGACATCTTGCGACCGGTTTTGTGATCCTGCGTTGGGGCTTTCCGGTGCGTTTGGCGGGGTTGAGGACCGTTTGAGGCCCAGAGGGTCCTAGGTGCCTACATAGTAGAACGTAGGGCTTCTATAGTAGGAATTACCAGTATGATTTGGGAAGCTATCCCCCATAACCCTAAACCCTAAACCCTGAACCTTAAACCCTAAACCCTAAGCCCCATAACAGTACCTCGGACGCTTTGGGAGGGCTTAAGGATTTAAAGCTCCGGGTGGGTTAGGCTTTAGGGTTTAGGGTTTAGGGTGGGTGGGTTAGGCTTTAAGAGTATCGGGCGTATAATGGGCTACTGCATGCTAGAGTATGTGGTTAGAAACCGACTTCAGACCGTCAGCCTAAAGTCAAATCCTACACCCTAAACCCGCAAGCTCACGCCATAAAACCAGATCCTACCTATACTCTCCATTGTAGTTCCTTTTTTTGGTTTAGCCAAATATATAATAAGGATTTCATAAGGTATCCCCAAAAAGGAACTACAATGGAGACTATAGGTAAAGCTTTACCAGACATCGCCCGGAACTGCCTTCGGAGCCCGCCAGAGCTGGGCGCCCTGCGGCGTGAGAGGCGTGGGTTGCGGGCTTCAGGGTGCAAGGGTAGTTGCTTCAGGTATTTATGGCTGAATTTATGGCTGAATTGCAGGGTTTAGGGTTTTAGGAATTACAGGGTTTAGGGTGTAAGCTTCAAGGATTCATTGAGTTTAGGGATTTGGCTCTTGGGAACACAGGAAGCCAGATTCCAGGGTTTTCGGATTTGTAGGGTGTGCAGTTGTTTGGCTCTTCTGCGTTAGGCGTTTAATTTTAGTCTAGTCCTGCGGTCTGGTCGAGAAGAGCGTGCTTTTCAACTTCCCAAGCGCTAGCCGCGATGACGTCTGAACTACTGAATAAGCTGGTCTTATCCTTATTGGGGTGCCGTTTCTGCGACAGCGAATGATTGCATGCGTTCTTTATGCGGAGTTTCGTACACACTTACATACACACACACACACATACATACATACATACATACATACATACATACATACATACATACATGCAAACTGGCATGCATGCATGAATGCATACATACATACATACAAACAAACATGCATGCATGCATGCATGCATGCATGCATGCATGCATGCATGCATGCATGCATGCATGCATGCACACATATATGTATATACACATGCGTATGTATGTGGTGATCCCCTTTCAGGACCAATTGCGGCATGTACATGTACACATACACATTCATATCTACAAAAGATATCGATATGCATATAGATATGGATGGATGCGGACATACATACGCACATATGTAAATAAACATATACATACTGTACATGCTATACACAAGCACGTGAACGAAGCAAATCGGCGCCTTGGGCAAGCCAAGCTTCTCCTGGGGCTTGATCCGATTGAAGATCTGGCTGTACCTTGAGGCTTGCGAGGCGTCATGCACGCTCCGATTGGGTTCAGGGTGTAAACCCAAACCCCAACCCTGAGCACTCAACCTCTGATTTCATCTCAGGTAAGTTGCTGTGGGCCCGCCCAGGTGTCTCGACTGGTCCTGGCACGCGCTGCAGCGCTCACGAGAGGGGGTCTCAGAAATTGACTGTTGAAGGCTCCGACACCACCATATCAGAATGCAATGATACCGCCGATTCGTTTTAGTCTGTTCGATCCTTGTGCATATTGTGCAATATACGGTACAGTAGTTGTGATCAGTGGAACGTTACAATGCAGCGCAATGGTTGCGGTATACTACCACGATTACTTCAGGACATTCTGGACTGAGATACTATAGGAGCCTTACTAATTAGAATAGGGTTTTGGGGCCCAGTATACTATAAATATAATAAGGAACTCTCAAAATACTATTGGTAATTATTTCGGCCCCTATATTATCTTGGCCCAGGCCACGCCCGCCTTGCCACGCGCTCCAGGGTCTTAGCTTTGCGCCAGCTGAGTTCCGTGAAGCGATTCGGCCTCGAAATTTCGCAGCTGAGACATGGCGAAATTGAGTTATCCTACCTTAAGAACCCAAAACCCACTTTTGTGTAGGTTCTTATTATAAACCCTAATATGGGATTTATAGGGACCTGTTGAATCCAAGGATTGAAGCTGAAGTCCTCAAGAGCTCAGCCTTCCAGAAGGATGTTGAAGAATAAAAAACTTGGTACACTTCTCGATTTGTGCAGAACCCAGCAGCTCCTCGGGGCCTTCTCTAAAGGATTGGGCCTCTTATCCCAACCTCAGTCCATGAACCCTCGAGCGCACCTACAGTTTTCTCCACACAACAACGAAGTAAGCAACCTTCTATACAAGTGCATCTAGGACTGAAATGTACAAGAGCGTCCTACACTAAGGTGCTGTAAGTTGTGAAAAGTGTGTTGACCCAAGGCATAAATTCCGAAGCCTCGCCTAGAGCCAAACACATTCACTCGAAAATCAGAGGAGAGGGTAG